CCACCACCACTACTACTCCTGCTGCTGCTACTACCACTACCACTACCACTACCACTACCACTACCGCTACGACTACGACTACTACTACTACTACTACTACTACTACTACTACTACTACTAGTACTGGTACTGGTACTCTTACTAGTACTAGTACCACTACTAGTCCTACTACTACTACTACTACTACTACTACTACTATCACCACTACTACTGCTGCTGCTGCTGCTGCTACTCCTACTGCTACTGCTGCTACATCTACTACTACTACTACTACTACTACTACGACTACAACGACGACGACTACTACTTCCACCACCAAGACGACGACCGCTCCGACCAATAGTAAGACTAGCAGTGCCCCGTGTCCGAACTTCCACCCCAAAGCAGATGCTTCAGTCCTCGTAGGCTGAAATGACCTGGCACGGTTTGAAACATTGTCCAAGGGTCGGCTTGCACATGCAGACCTAGTGGTTGAAAATGCAACGGAAGCCTAATGGTGCACGCAAAAGCCGACGACGACCATGATGATGGCTACGACAATAATGACGATGGTATGCGATGGTGGTTGCGACGCTTCGGTGCTGCATCCATGCATTTCGCCTTGTGAACTTCACGGCTTTTGGCCAGGGCCATTGGGTCGGTGATGTTTCGTTTCAGTATGAGACTTTGCGCACCACAAGTGCCCAGTGAGACGTCACATGTGGACTGTCCAGGTCGAAGGTTGAGCCTCACGATCACCCTGAGACCCCAATATGGGGCGGGACCCGGAGCAGAGGCTGGCCTCTGGAATCTGCGCGACAGCCGGCAACAAAGCTGCGATCTTCTCATCGCTCAGGTACATGATTTGCTCAAGATGTCTCTACCCTGTAAGATAACATGAGTGGTTTGTCCTGATGGCATCGGATCTGATGTTGGATGGCAAATGGCTGCACACGCCATTTCGCAGCGCTCTCTGCACTTTCTGCCTTCCAGGATGACAAAGAGAAGTCTCAAGTTGAGTTCCTTTCAACACGGTGGCCAGGCTCGGATGGAAGACTGTACAAGTATTTGCAATGAGGCTACCTGTGCCTGTACGCCTCAAACCATAAGGGCACAGCAACATGCTGAGGGACCATTACGGAAATCGCAGGGCTCAGCCAAAAGCGGACATCGGGCAGAAGTCGAGTAGCGAGCGCTCCAGCACCTGGCTGCTCAATGACAAGCAGTCATAAGCATAAGCCAACATACGGCATTGACTGTTCGACGTAGCTGTGACTGCCATACAGGCACAACCGCAGCGGCGAGACTCGAGACACGGGCCACTCAGGTTGGAACCAGGCATATGAAAGTACATCGGTCAACAGTGAGAAGAAACGCTCGCTGCATTCACCAAGTCCCATGCATGACTTAAACATCGCCAGAATGATGGACGTCGAGTTCCGAAAAGCCTTGTCGCTGGTCGTAGCTCACGCTTCGACCCCCTCTGGCTGCAGAACGACGGCTACTGCAAAGGCAATGCATGCGTCGAAGTCATGCTGCCATTGAACAGAGCAGTGGGGTCCAGAAAACATTGATTACACGCCGGGAAGTTGTTGCGGTCTGCGCAGTTTTTTTGCGCGCTCACAACACGAACATCCCTGCAGACCCGCGCACGGTATCTTTATGAACGGCAGTGTCGCACAAGCACTCTAGACTCTAGACTCTGGAAAGAGCCTACAGTCTACAATAAGGTACTGCGATACACGATGCTTGAACGTCCTTTCAGCTGGAGATGCCGACTTGAACCCTCGTCTGAGCGCCTTCCAGGACTGGGCGACTGCCCAAAAACTGCGAGCCTCGCCAAGGCCGAAAGGCTTTTTGCTGGCTTTCGTGCGTTCTGGGTTTGCTTCACTTGCAAGCAAAAACAAGCCGGTGTCTTTTGGAGTGAAAGGCATCTCTGTGTCAGGTGGCTAATGCGTCCTGGGAGGGGTTGATCGGTGTGCTCACTCTTAACGGGTCAGCACATGGAGCGGAGCTCAGCACCCAGAAGTTCGTCGGCATAAGAGCCGTCAATCTGAAATCCATCTAGATCGACGGTTGAGTGCCGTCTCGGCTTTCGAATCGGACGACGAGCCACTCTGCAGCCACGGGGTCCGGATCTGAGCCGATGCACTCAATGAATTGTTGACAGTCCACTGACTAATGCCTCTCTCTTTAGTCGTCCCTGCAACACCTCGGATTCAAAGAAAACAAGACACCTGAACTGTCGCGAAAGCAGGGAGAAGCCTGGGCCCACAACACCGCCTATAACTTTAGGTGTCCCGAAACTAGGGGACCCTAATATAGTCCCCTGAATAATAGGATCCTTATGAAAAGGCCTGACATCTTCGAAAACTTCGGGCTTCTGAGGTGGCCTCTCCAACCGCGCTTTGTGCACAGAGTGGTGCACTGGACTCTGTCTCTGTCGCACCTTCTTCCGGTCCAGTGGGTCCCTTCGGGAGCGTCTGGACGGGAATCAATGTACACCATTATCAGATCACTATCACTACCAGAAGTACCGAGTCTGCAAATGTATTGTGAACTTTCCAAACGGTTCCGCAATTCCGAGACTTCTCACAGCCAGACTGACGAACCAGGGAAGCCAAGGGGTGCGGTAGGGTAGCTGCTTCTCAGCTGATCCTTTACCAGCTGGATGATGCCACTGTCCACGTTCGGATTCTTGTCTGCAAAGTAGACCATCTGCTGGCAGCTCATCTTTGACATCATCTTCTCCATGTTGCGCAGTGCAGCACCGGAAAGGTCGGAGTTGCCTCTCGATGAGACTGACAAGCGACAATGGATCGCCTGCAAGACCGGGAAGAGCGTGTCGAAACGACCTGCTTGTTGGGCACGCATGGACAGCTGCGCCAAGAGCAAGTCGAGAAGCTGTGCTTCACCTCAGCGGCAGGAATGGCCATCATGCATCATGGAGATGGTGCCCGCGCAAAGCATTGATGCCCGGGCACTGATGGACTTGACTGCTTCACGCTGCTTCTTGTCGGGCTTCATGCGTCCATTGTGGCAGCCTCGCTCTAGAGGGTAGCAGCACTTGAATTGCCACAAATGTCTTGGATGAGGGAGACTACAACCCTCCGCAGCATCGTGGCACGCATCTTCGATAAGAGACAATCAATATACTCAAGAACACGGCGCAACGAGCGGCATGAATGAATGTCGATGTGAGAAGCCTGCAATATCCTTTAAAGAAGAGCTGCATGCTTGGCCTCCAACAGCTGGCATTAGCTTCACAACCAAGGAGCAGCGGCAAAAGAAGCACTCGTGTCCCTCGTCGCTGGTGCTCCATGACTCCTTATTGGCACCTCCGGAACACGAACAAATCTCAAAGCAAAGCAGCCTGGGCCTGGGCCTGGGCTCACGTGAAAATGACATGCTCCACGACTCCGGGCGCCTGTGTCCCTCGACAAGCCAGGAGGAGGACCAATGCCTGGGCTCCAAGGACGTGTGACTACGTTTGCCCGCAAACCCCAAAAGCCGCTGCAGGCAAGCAGATTGCTGTCGAGGTCGAGCAAGTCCGGCATTGGTCTCTCGCCTGCTGCATTCGAATACTCAGAAAGTGAATTTTTGCGGAAGTTCTCGGCTCCCGGCCTGCGAAGCTGTGAGCCACTCGGCGCAGCTCCGAAGGCAGCGACCTTAGGCAAAGCGCTAGCAGATCCCCTGCGCTGCTGTATAGAAAATGGCAACCTGCCGGAATTGAGGCAGGCGGCGCTGCTCCGCTCACCCTTGCTGCCATAAACATGCGGCGTGGGACCGAATGACGTGTTTGAAATATTTTGAAATAGCTCACGGCTGCGACAGTCGGAAGTTGCCGCAGGTCTGTCAGATTTTCAGACAAACAGACTCATGACCTCTCCACGATGTGGGGCAAACAGTCTCTGCTACTGTTGCGCATCCGATTTGAAGCCCTTGCCTGCATCTGACGCTGCACCGCTCAGGGCTCAGCATCACGTCTCCATCAGAGACAGGGACCGCATGCGGGAAGGAGTAAGGGGAACATGCAACCGAGAACGGTCTAAAGAAAGCTTTCAAGCTTCGGGGCTCCAATGGTTCACCACCAAGATCTTTCCGGAAACGAAGGCTCTGGACGCTCTCGGGGTGAGGCTCAGCTTCGCACTATTCTCTCCGCATGTTGGGCCTGGCTGGCAGCACGAACGGGCCGTGGTGAGCAGATCATGCAGAAAGGGCGATGCTCTCGGAGTCGAGGTTTCGTGACATCCCAAGCTCGAGGCTTCCAGCACTCAGTGTTTGTGCCAGGATGACGATGCCCCCCACCATGACGGTGGTGGTGCTGATAACGATGGCAGTATTAACAGATGGCAAAACAGGCCGATTACGGCGGTGCTTGTAGTTATACTTTGTAGTTCGATGAGGAGTGTGATGGTGATTGTGCAGCCCCTGGGGGTGACAACATCGAATGATGTGATGAGGAGGGGCAATCATCATGACGGCGGTGGCGATGATGCATGATTGAGACGAGGATCAAACTGAAATAGACTTGGCTGAAACTGATGCTGGTGGCAAGGATGATGGTGCCGGCCGGTGCTGGTAGTGGTGGTAGTGGTGGTGATGGTGCCGAAGGAAAAGGAGTTGTGGGAGGGAGGCTGATGGACGGGGAAAGTGGGCAGTACCTCAAGTCCTCAGGAATCCGCAAAGCTGCTCAAGACTCGACCTGCATTTCTCGGAAGTTACGGTGGGCACCTGCTACTGTCCCCTTAGTCGGAAGCGCATAGAGTCTTTGTGACTTGTTAAACCTTGGATGGACTCAACCATCGACGGCCGTCCATGAACACCTTCAGCCCCTTCTTTTGCAAAGACTTGAAGACCTACCACTGACGTAACTAAACCCTGAAGCATGATCGCCAATATTGACCGCTCCCTTTGGCCCTTTTTGCCCTGAACCCTCTTTCCCAAACGACTGCCTTTTCTCCTTTGCCCTTCGCATCTGGGCAATATGTGTGTGTCTACGGCCCCGGGTTGGCTCCAGGGTTTAAGGCCTTGGGCTGTCCTATCAGTTGCTGGCTGTGGGGCCAGCGCAAGCTGGAGGTGTCCTCAAGGAGTGAGTTAGAACTCTAAGCATACTGCTTCGGAAACCACGCTGCAAGTAGAATGTCGCAGCTAAGGTGGCGCTGACGCGGCCATGTGTCGCGCTTTCTCAGGGAAGGCCTCACGGAAGCTTGTTTGGCAACATCATGATAATGACACTGCCTGACAATCGGCACTCACGTGTTTCCCGTTCAGCTTAAGGCTGGCATGAAGGGGCCCGTAGGTTTATTCTGACTGATCTTGTATGCATGTACCATCGTCCTAGAATCCAAGCACGTCAAGCTCCCAATCGCTTTCGACCAACCTTTGCTCTGGATGTTGATACATCCCCAGGCAAAACGTCCAACGCCTAGAAATCATCCGGGATGTTGTTCGCTGGGTCGAACTTGTAGGAGAACCACAGTAGGATCGCCTGACTTGTGCAGGCATGGGCTGTCGAGGTGCGAAGTTCACGGGGCCGGTTTGCAACAACAACCTTGCCCAGTAGACGATTCTACTCATCATGGAGGCATGCTCAGTTCACACCAATACCTCTGCTAGCCGTCGTGGCGAGGCACTTTGAGCCTAAAGGAATACCGAGGCACTGCCGCTAGCCGCGGTACAAGGTGCTTGCACAAGCAGTGTCATCCCGGTCTCTGAAACTTGTAATTTGTAATGCTTAGCACACAACGCTGCAACTATTCCACGGGGCGCTTGAAATCTAAAACTCTACGCATCTCGATGATCACCTACCCAACTACGCATTCGCCGGCAGCTGTGCATGCATGTAAGCATATGCTTACAGTAGGAAGGAACAAACAGCAAAAACAAACGTCGTGACATCAAAGGAAGATAATTGTGCTTGTGTCATGCCGTGTCGTGTTCAAACGCATAAAACACACATGCATCTGCAGTTGTCCACTCTAAGGCCAGGCACTGGCGCAAGCCACAACGTCGCGGCAGCCACATAGGCATAGTTGTACCACCGGAACTGTACTCGCCTGCAAAGGATCATGGCCCAGCATTCACCAAGGAGGGTTCAGGACAAAGGTATGCCTGCAATTCACGGCCCTGACACGACAGCCTGATTTGCATAATGGAGGCGGATCTCTGACCCGGAAACCTCATACCGTAACTCATGCCCCGACTCCGGGTCTGAATGCAGCCCACGGCTCTGGACGATGAGGGTCACCACGTAGAGTGCGCCGCCATACCAAGGAGCAATGCTATACCTTATCAACGTGCGAGCAATGGCATCAAATCCTGAACCTATACTAAATGGCACTGTTGCTTGCAGCGAAGGGCCACCAACTCAAGGATTTGCCGAGCTGTAGTTTACACAAACTTTGTGGGGAGTTCCTGCGTTTCAAACGACCGACTCTTCTTCGCCAACCACCCAATATACGACAAACCAACAAAGAAGCAACGACAATCACATAAATCCACGCAAGTCAAAAATGTAACCTGCCTTCATGGGTCATAAACCCCTTTCGAGCACAAGTGGTTCCTTACATGCTCGTGTATTTACGTGCGTACCCACTTATGCCAGCATGGTCACATCCATGCATGTGTGGATGTACTGTATGTGTACACACATGCATATGTAAGTATATGTGTATGTATCAGTTTGGTATGCATATACACGTAAATCTATACATATGTATATATATATATATGTATATACACAGATATGTCATGATATGTGATGATACGTATGTAGGTGTGTCTATACGTACGTATGACCTCTCTCTCTGTCTCTCTTCCTCCTTCGGGCATAGGGGGGCGAGTAAAAGCCCCTGGCCACCAGGCCCCCCCATCAACTGAGCCCCCTCCCAGCGCAAAGCCCCTGGTGCGACACATGACGGGATTGCAAAGGGAAGCCACCTCAAATCACCTCAAGCAGCACGCAGAAGTTTAGAGGGCGAAGACACGATATGTGTAGTTCATGGAAACAGGACACTCCCCCCTGCACTTTTCCTCGCTCTTTCTCTCTTTCTCTGGCTTTCCCTCCGTGCCGGTTTAGTTCTCGGTTGCTTATATTGTTTGTCGGCTTGTGCAGGCAGAACCACCTTTTAACTTACTGCTGCAAGATCTGATTGGTTAGCATCACCTGGTATGCAACAGACTTTTTTCCTTGTGGCCAACATGACTATGCTTGATTGATCAAACTAAACAACCGTGGGCATTCATCACTAAGAGACACGGGACTGTATTGGGATACCACTAATGACTTTGTCGTGTGTCGTACAATTGCAGGATATGGCAGAAGCGAATCGTGAGCCAGCTGCTGCTGCAGTGAGGTCGTCCCTTGCTAGCTCTGCCTGCGACTATTACGTTCCTGGCACCAATACGACGACAGCAGTCTGTAAGTCTCTCCACCTGGTGATTTCAAGAAGGAAGTGTAGCTCTTCATGTGTGACGGTTCTGGGCTGATGGGCATGGGGAAGAGCAAGGAGTGAGAAAGAAGCGGGGCGGCAGCAGCGTCAGGAGTAGGAGGGGAAGCAGGAGTAGAAGCCGGAGTCGGAGCGGAACAGGAGCAGGAGCAACAGTAAGGCAGTGGCAATGGCAGTGTAGTGGCACTGACGCTTGGGACTGCAAGCATCAAGTGCTATACTCCATAATATATTGTTCCATTTCTAGTTCTATTTCACCTCAGCGAAACCGTCCACAAAAACCCAGCGCTCTCCCGGAGCCCTAAACCCAAAAGTTGCGTCGGAGGACCAAGGCCTTAAAGCTTCCTCGGCCGTGGTATAGGCCACAGCAGCTGCAGGCGTAAATCCGGAGGCGAAGGCGAGCAGAGCCTTGGAACTACGAAAAGAGGGTGAACTCTCAGGGTTTAGGGTTCAGGGGATTCTTATAGGGTTTAGCTTCGTATAGTATGGTATAGTATAGTCTAGTCTAGTGTAGTAAGTCTACTCTAGCGCTTGCGAAAGAAGGTCACTGGAGAGGCAGGGAACACTTTGAAGGGGACTATGAGGCTATGAGGCTTCTCTGGGATTTACTACAGGCGCTCTTATAGGGTTTATACTATGAGGCTTTACTTCTTCGGCAATGACAACTAGTTTCTGTCACTTGGAGGGGCGCCAGGGGTCCCCGCTTTCGCCAATCGGGGGTTTATGCAGCTGTCCGAATTCTATACTCCATCCACGGGGTCTCACAGGGTCCCGAAACCCCCAACTAACACAGCTCTCGCACCAGAAGAGCGCGCTTTGAAACTTTGCTCTGCCAACCCTTCTGCTTTTTAAAGGTCCTAACCCCAACCCCTGATCTGACCCTGACGCCGGTCGAGGCCTATCTGAAGATTGAAACCTCAAGAATTCACCAAGGAACCCTAAACCCGAAACTCAAAATCCTAAAGCAAAGGCCCTGAACTCTAAACCCAATGGTGTCCCTGTCCACACCTTCGGTACGTCCTCTCTGCTGATGGCCTGCTCGGCTCCTCGTTCCTCCAGCTGCCATGTCTCGTGCTAAGGGCTAGCAGCTTTCGCGAGTGTTAACGAAAACAGGTACCAGGAGCTTTAAGCCCTTTTCCCCTAACCCGCATTGAGTTTTTTTTATGAATTTCCATGTGCCGAAGCGTCTGAGATCCCAGTAGTTTGGGGTGGCCTCTTGCTTTACCAGAAAGTCTTTGTGCTACTACAAACCAGCACCACCGCTGAGGCTGCCACCTGCAAGCGCTAAGCCCGCTAAGAGCTTTTCCGCAGGTTTGAGCAGTGCACACACTTAGGAGTTCATGGCCTACTGCTTCGGCCAGAGGCAATCTATCTGGCGCATGGCTGACCTGGCATGCCACCAATACGAACATGCAGTGATGACACAGCTCTGGTGGTACATCTTGACAAGTACAGCACTAAAGATACAGTAGGAAGGACAGAGGACCTAATCAGAGCATTGAAGCTTTGGCATCGCACTCCTGAAGATAAGCAAAGCATGCACAATGTTGCCAGCATGCCCTTGTAGAATAGATCGCTTCTCACAGCTGTTGATTCACTGTCTAAGGCCCCTCCCCTAGATCCGCACAAAATCCAAACAGCGCAAAGCCTGGCATCTCCCACAGTACCTCTTTCCACGGGAAATTCCCGCAGCTCTGAAGTGGCCTGAAATCGGACGCTCCTGGAACGAAAAACACAATCCACCGCCGAAGCCGCACAAACCTACAGGTCCGAGTAAGAACCCCGGTGCAAATCCAATAAATCCGTACTCGGGGGGCATGGGGTCTGTGGAGAAAGAGCTTTAAGTCAACCTGAAACCCTGAAGCCCTCAACAAGGAAAAGATTATAGGCCTCGAGTGCTACCCGTCCGGGTTCTGGTCTGGCAGTTCGGACCTTCGATTCGTGGTCATCTGAAAGGTTTTCGGTGCTACGTAGCACTTGGCTAGAACATGATCAGGGTTCAAGCAGGGGGTTTTCGACTCTCACTCTCGCACGAGGCAGGCAAGGCGAAGAGTTTCGGGTCGAGCGGATGCTACGTGTCTTTGGCTTGATCCATGTCCAGATACAGTTCAGGCCGTGTGCTTCTTACATCCGAGTTGAAGCTTTGTTCATGAGCTTCTTGTGCACAGCGTGAGGAACAGTCAGGCCTCAACCCAGAGCTTCGGCATGATCTTAGGTAAACCAACGTAAGTGTCAACATGTGTGTGTGTGTGTACGTACGTACGGATGTATGCATGTATGTATGAACGCAGAGGATTAGGTATGTATGTGCACCCTGCCCCGTTTGTCTGCTTGTCTGGCAGCCCCAGCCTCCTGTCCCCGAAGCTTCGGGCTTTCTGCGGGTCCCACGAAGGCCAAGTCCTTGAAAGCCAGCAGCGCGCACGCCAGGACAGCGGCCCTCAGCAGAGAGGAGTGGCGCGTCATGGCTTGGCAGCGGGCCCTCGAAAGAGCCGAAAAATCGCTGCAGCGTCATTGGGCCGCTTTACGAAAGTCTTCGCACAAACCGGAGGGCTCATAATTTCTCGACTCAACGCCCCGCATCTCAAGAATGCATGAAAGCACTCTGACTCCGTGTCTGTCCTGTTTTCTCACACTCAGTCGAGGCAGTCGCAGGCGTCTCCGATCGGAATGAGACTACTCATGTTGGAAATTGTTTAGCTAGACTAGGCCCAACTAGGCTCAAAGCCTCAGGTAAAGCCCACACAAACTCGTGATTATGTCCGGCTTCCTCCATCTACCACTAGTACTGTGTGGGACCGAACTCAAGATACACCCTGATATGCCACACCCCAACTACCATCAAGTTCCCACGAACTGGCCGGGGCAAGAAGTCCCAGGGCTTCACACGACACTCCACGTGAAAACAGTCCCGAACTACAGTCATGTGCCGACAGGTTCTCTGACCCTGGACTTCTCCCCACAGCATGGACTCAACAGTACGAGTAAGAGCCTATCGCTCACCGACTTGTTCAACGTCCGTGCTATGATAAGCCCAAGGCGGCCAAACCACCCGCCCCCAACGACAACCTTCTTGACTGGGAGCCGGGGTGACGGGAGAGCAATCTGGGCTTTGTACGGCATGGTTTGGCACCGCCGTCGCTGTCGTCGTTGTGACGCATTATCAGCGGCAGTCTATATCAACGTCCACAAGTGCAACACATCCTGCTTTACCGGTATACGACAAGCACTAGCAGCAGTGACTGACGTAGCAGTCCAGCACCTTCAACCCTAAAGCGAATGCGAAGACACTTCCGAACTCGAGCAGCTCAGAAGCAGCATGTTGAAAGCCTCGGGCTGGAAGGTCTCGTCGATTTGTTTTTTAGCAACAGTCTCTTTGGTTGGGAGCTCTTGAGTTCAGTTTTCGCCGCAGCATAGAGCCCGGTTCTATGTATGTATGTCTGTACGTAGGTGCGCATGCATGCCTGCATGCATGCATGGATGGATGGATTAATGTACTGTAATGCAATGTACTGTAATGCAATGAAGTAAGTAAGTCTGTATGTTTCATTATGTATGTATGTATGTCTGTCTGTGTGTATGTACATTTAAATATGTATATAAACGTAACTCTAAAGATTTAAAAATAGATATCTTATATAGACATGGATATAGCGCTCCCTTTTCCCCCTCTCTCTCTCTCTCTCTCGGTAATATGACCAATAATGCATTCTGTATATGCAAGCGGATTCAACATGAGACGTATCAATATCAACCCAAAGAAAATCGAGAAATCACCTCTTGCCAGCAAACATTCACAAAGCAAGCAAAGAACCCCTGAAACCCTGAGATCGTAGCCAAGAAAACCCGAACCGTCAAGGCCCTGCTTTTGTGTCGTCGAAGGAACGCCAGGACCAGCTGTGGGCTGGATATGACAGGGATCCTGAAGACTGGCGACACATCTTGCAACAAAATCCAACCCGAGCAAAGACCTTCTGCCCGGCAAAAGAAACCTATGCTGCCATCTATAGGAGGCATGAAGCTGGATTGGCGAAGGCGCAGCAGCTCGCAACGGAGAGCAAACGGAAACCGAATCCATGTTGAGGTTTATCAGTTTAATGCGATGCTGTCAAGGTCGCCTCACCAACTTGTGCTTTGCCTCCGTGGCAAAACATGAAAGACAGGGCAAGCAAGCTGAATGAACACCTCTTGATGCTGCCGCAGCTGGGAATTTCCGACAGGTGTCGGTAGCATGTCTTTAGTAAATGGCGAGTTGAGTAAGGGAAACCGCCAATGACGTTTTCGCACGTACTACCGACTACCGCAGGTCACAGAACATCTACGCACACCTGCCGGATATGCACACCCCATGCTGCTAGAGTCTGCTAGAGCTTGCTCGATTATTCCCCTGCATCCCAATCTCCAACGTGGCTCTTCAGGGAAGCGGGCCTCAAAGCCAAAATGACTCTCCCGCAAGAATACGAGCTGTCGTTTCCTTCGCTTCGTCTGTCGGTCGATGCTTCTTCTTCTGCTGCCGCGCCGCTGCCTGCAGTTGCCTTCTTCGTGCGGTCGCTTCGGAGGCAGTGCAAAAGTGGCAGTGTGAACAGCTCTCGCCCTTGTAGCACCGAGCCGCCTTGAAGGCGAAAGCCACGCACGGATAGCACTGCCCGGCTTTATGGAGCTGAAGCTTTTCTGTAGTACTGGCAGTGAAGAAGGATCTACTGCTCAGTGGCACATCTGACAAAGGGGAGAGCGTGCTGCTTGTGACTGTGCTGGCTGGCGACTCCGAGGCCCGGAAGGGAGCGGAAACTTGACCGGGCTCCAACTTGAGAAGGCCAGCCGGAACAGGCATCGGAACAGGCATCGTCGCCATGCTCTTCAGGGGGATGTACCCCTCCACAGGCCATGGCGAAGAGTGAATTTGAGGACCTCCTGTAGTCATTCTCTGTGGCGTCCTGCGCCGGGAGTTGCCACAGCAGGCTTGAAACAAACATCTTGAGCCGGAGCCAACGGTTCAGCAAAGGACTCCGGGCACTCGAATCAAGAGGGTGTCAACTGCATGAAACAGGTTAGGAAGCGACTCTGAACTGACGGAACTGGCCTGTACAAAAATTAGGACCAAATGCCCACTTGCCAGACTTAACACGATGAAGCAAGTGGGTCCTCGCAATGCAGCGGTGTGTAGTGAAGTCTACAGGTTGGCATGCCGGATCTGACCAGGCACCAAGAGTGTGCGCCGGACAACATGTGCTTCAATCTGCAAGGACGGAGACAAAGCCGAGGTAAAAATTCATCTAATTACACTCTTGTCCCATGTCGGTGTGACTGCATAATCAGGGGCAAAGAGATGGGTGTCCTAGGCCTGAAGCATGCATCTAGAGACAAGCATACGCCATGTGCCATGTGCCGTGCCCGAGCTTCAGTTCTACGGCCTGCGTCCTCAGACGCCTTTCATGCGCTCCAAGCTGTTTAAGGCCATCTTCCTATATGCCACGCATCTACAATCCCAAGGATTACGGAAGCCCGAACCAATTCCGAGCAGATTGGGACATGATTGAGATCGCGGCGTCGGCCGCTGTCGCATCGCGCGTCATGCCCGCAGGGCTATGCAGAGGCATGAGGGAGCTGGAGGGGGAGAAAGGGAGTCTTCCGTGACTGAAGAGGTTTCAAAAGCTGGTGATGTTGCGATGCATGTATTGGATAATTACTGTGAGTGTCCCCTGTGTGCTTTAGAGCACAAGAAACGCGGCAAAAAAATGAAAGTTTGCACGTTTGACAAGAAGATCCCATCGGGCTATAGATTCAGATCTGCGTCGGACTCCAGGACTTAAGTTCGCCCACGCATGAGCTTCAAGCAGAAGCTCACGAGGAAAAGCAACTCCGACGTGCCATGTTTCTGAATTTCAGAGGACACTGCACCCAACAGCCATCTACAAACCACGAAGCAGGTGGAACATGCAGATTGAGAAGGCTGGAAACTTGAAATCGGAAGCCAAAAGAGTCCCTCCTCATCTGCAGCAAGCACACTGGAAACATAGAACTTCTACATCAGGTCTACAAAGTGCCCTACGACATGGAAATTTCCGTGGATCCGAGCAACGATAGAACACGAAACGTAATATGGCGACACGGCCACTTCCCCACAGCCCCTTTACCGGGGCCTGCATCAACAGAATACCTCTGCAGTCCTATGCACGAACAAGTCATAAGACAATCTAAGCAGCAATATCAATTCATACATGTACTTGATACCGGCCAGAAAACTACTTGATTATTTCTGCAAGGCATGCACTTCTTACCGGAATCCAGCCTGAACACTGAACCAGTAAACATTTAATCCATCCGAGCCCTTTTGCTGCTCTGCACCCGACGCGGACTTGACTCGGAGCTCAGTGCCGCCGGATCTCGAGAACTCACTTGTGTACGTCGGCTAGAGTCGAGAGAAAATCCAAACAACAGCGGAGGAATACATACATAAACACGTATTTACAAACACGCATGTAGGTACATACAAACATTCATGCAAAAACGCAAACATGCATTCATGACAGGCACGAGAGAGAGAGAGAGATAATGTTAATATATGTGTGTATAAACACATGTATACATGTATATATGTACATATGTATATATGTATCCGTATATATNNATATATACGGATACATATATACATATATTCGATACGTCTGAGGGTGGGGGTGTCAGAATATTATTGTGCCCGTGATAACTGTTTACTGGCTAACTTGCTTACTTACTTATTTACTTGCTGTCTTTCTTTGTTACATGCATGCACATGTACACGTTACTGCTGCGCTATAACGTGATGACGACCAGGTTATGTAACCCGAGTTTGCGTATCACAGAATACTAGCATGCCTATAACAACAACAGCTGCGCGGCACAGCAACGAGCCCCAGGTATCCCCACAGGTTGCTTGAAATCTCCCCTTCAAGCAACCTGTCCTCGGTGAGAAAGCAGGCAACGTAACACCGGAACGTAAGGTACTACGAATGAAATGATCATAGCACTTCTTGCCTCGCACAGTACTTCCGTCACCATAAAAAATATTCAAGACTGTAATAACAATCAGCATAATACTCCGAGTGATCATGATCGAAACTATCCCTTGGTGCTAATAATATAATACCAGCTCTTGTAATCGTAATCAAGCGCCCCAAGAATAGCCAACCCCGCCTCCTTGGTCTGGAGTGCCTGCCTTTTTCGTGCCTTCGGCCTTATGTCTTCGTCTTTCAAGGGTTTCCTAGGTCTCCAAGGCATACTCAGAGTTTAAGGCCTTTTGACAGTGAACAGCAAGAATAGCCTAGAGGCGCCACGCGGGATCTTGAACACGTTTGAAACAAAACCTCAGGGAAGACAAAACCCTACACATACATTGAAGTAGTGCTTGGCACCCGTAAGAAAGCCTACTTAAAGAGAGAGGGCCTGCACATAAGTACTATATCCACTGCTGGGCCTGGGCGTGGTAGGTATGGTCGATGAATGCGTGCGTGCTCGGGGTGCCTATCGGGGGCCTCATCCTTCGATGCGGTCTTGGAACATAAGGGCTGAGGGCTGCGGGGCGCTTCGAGTCTACGGCTTTCTTCTGAGCTACAACGGTAAATTACTATCAAATGCCTTATGCACTCCTCTCTGGTCTTCAAGCTGAGGCTTAGCTTCGCCCTGCGGGCGAAGCCTGGGCTGTTGCTGGTGCCATCGAAAAGTCCCCGCAAGCCTTCACCGGGAAAGCTTCTGCAGTAAGCGGCCGGAATACCTCGGCATGAAATCATACCTAGACCCCCCGAGCTCCGCTTTTTCCGAAACCAGGGAAGACTGAAGTGTAGATCCCAAACCCCTGAATCCCGACATCGAAAACCCGGGTCAAATCAAACTTCAATACGGCGGAAGCACCCGAAACCAAGGCAGGTAAAAAATGTCAGCACCACATAAGCGGTTCTCCACATTATGAGCGAGCTGAGAGCCCAAAAGAAGAAACAAGACAGCAGCCAAGCGCTCTCCAGCTTTCGGGATAAGGAAGGCTATGCGCATCAACACTGCGAGCCCGAAAGTCTAAATTGCTCTAAGCCAAGGAGCTTGTGTACAATGTCATCTGGCTGGGTGATCTTGATTAGGTAATGGCAAAGCTCCCGCACCTCCCACGTCCCGAGCTCACAATACATCAGAGATTGTCGGATAAGGGGCTTCGACACAGTCTGTCGTCAGGCGTGACCTTCTTGAGGCTAAAGCGTTCTGGCGGCCAGGTGTAAGTGTGAGGCATTAGTAACATTAGTACCCATACCCACAATAGTTTCCGCCGGGTTGTTATTGTTGTATGTCATATTTCCCGTTAATGGGTACCCTACACGAAAGCAGTGGGAATATTATGCCCTGAGAGGTTTAAAGCGAGATTCTTGACTGCATCAGCCCCAAAATCCAAAACCGAGACATGTTGGGAGCCTGTGTGGAGCAGTTGAGCTCAGCGCGACATTCCGAATGCACCGCCAAGTTTCCCAAGGAGAACAATGCAATCTTCACCTGGGAGGCTGGGGTGCGCGTAGGTGCGCTTGCCTGGGACTAGGCCAACCTAGTGAAACTACAGCCTGCTCTGGTCCGCACCGCTTGACCTCAGGAGCAAACCTAAACCACGAATTACTAGACCCTGCGGTAGACCCTCCAGAATTGCCAAAGGCTTCCTGACAACTTAATCAACCCTCGAACATCTCCAGTGTCCAAAGCCCCTAAACCTTTTTGCAGCCGGGCCTGGGCACGCTGCACTGCGAGCTGGATGACTAAGCAACCGTTTGCTGGTCTCAGGTTAACCCTATGGACCTCGAAAGGATGGTAAGGTTCAGGTGTTTAGCTGTTTCGCAGCATCCCGACACCCAGAACTCTAAGCCCTTCGGACGGGTCGCCGAGGAGTCGGCGACCAACTTGTCCACGGGCTCTGCTCGCCGCGGGCACCGGGACAAGATCAGCTCACAAAGGCCTGCGGGATCAGGAAGATGCAAATTACAAAAGAGTCTTGGCAAGCCATACAATAGCAAGCACCATTGTCATGTCAGAGAAGCAACACACACACACACTCACACCCGCACGCACACACGCTCTCTCTCTCTCTCTCTCTCTCTCTCTCTCTCACACACACACGCACACTTTTACACACACACACAGTCACACACAGAGTAGCAGCAACATGCAGCAGGAGGAGGAGTAGGGGTAGCAATAGGAGTAGGAGTGGGGTAGGGGTATAGGAGTAGGGAGAGTGGTTGGGGTAGGGGGAGCGGCATGGGGAGGGATGGAGGGAGGAGGGGCTACTGCTGTAGTATCAGTAGCAGCAGTAGCAGTAGTCGTGGTGGTTGTGTGCCAGCACATGAACATGCTGGTGTTCGGCGCGTGGTAGGCTGTCCCGAACCTTCATCGTGTGCAGTGGCAATGTGCATGATCCGCTCTGATGCATAAACTGCCTCGACCCTTGCCTCTCTCCAAGGCAGATATTGTACCTGTATGGGGATCATCCCCGTTGTTGCCATCCGCTGTTGGTACGCCTAATTTCTCCTCTGCCGAATGCGACCGGCGATTCGCAAACTATTGACAAGCATCCGTTTCAACTTCCAGGTTTGCGCTCGTGACTACCTCTTTCGGACCGGCATCCGTGGATTTATTATGATTTTTGATCGACCTCAAGCACACACAAACAAACAGTCTCCAACCGGAAGCTGCCTTGGGCAGCGCCCTCACGAACCATCACTCCGCAAAGCTCATTGGAATTCCTCTCAAAAGCATTGTCGCGGGAAACCAAACTCTCGGGGGTGTGTGGTCAGGGGCTGTGAGACAAGCGAAACCCAAGCTCCATCGCAGTCTTGCGAATGGCAAGGCAGGAGGATGGGCACAAAGGGTGACTCTGGCGGCCGAGTGCAAGAGGCCCGGGTAACATCTTGAGAGTATCTCGAAAATCCATCTTAGCCACTGTTCGGCTAGAGAAAGCCATCAACGACCACCTGCCGATCAAAACTTAGTTTCAACTTCAAAGCGCGAAAACTCACTTCTTCAGAAAAGCCAAGTTTGCCCTCTAGGATCGGGTCCTGACGAGATTGCCGATCCTTGGTAGTCCGCACACCGTTTGCCCATGCATCACCCAGCAAAGGATTTCTATGTCCAAGGCTGCTCTGCCACAAGGCTGCGGCCGAATGCGGCTCAAGGCTACAAGGACCGTCTCGTCCCACGCGTCTGGTCAATACAATTTGATTCTACTATCTGCGAAAACTCTTTTGTCCACAAATCAACAAGTTAAATGTCCTCCCACATGACTGCTGCGGGTGTCGTTTTGTCCAAATTCAAGAACTACCCACTGCAGTATAAGAACTAAGGAAGCCTACTTGGACATACAAGCCTATCGTCACCGGTTATTCCGACCTCTACAGTAAGTACGGGGAGCTACCAGGCTTTTCATCCGCTTTGCGAAACAAAACGACGGCGAGTACTACGGAGTATGATGCTCACACACAGTAAGTGCTGTAGTCGCAGTATCGAAGCCAAGCATCATGCAAACAAAGCAGCTGAAGTACGACTGAGCAAGTATACTTATTGTTGCAACTTATTGCATTGGTAATGGTAGTGTTAGCAGTAGTAGTACTAGTAGTAGTAGTAGTAGTAGTAGTAGTAGTAGTAGTGGTAGTAGTAGTAGTAGTAGTAGTAGTAGTAGTAGTAGTAGTTTTGTCACCCAATAGTAATAGTAGTAGTAGTAGTAGTAGTAGTAGTAGTAGTAGTAGTAGTTTTGTCACCCAATAGTAATAGTGGTAGTAGTAGTAGTAGTAGTAGTAGTAGTAGTAGCAGTAGCAGCAGCAGTAGCAGTAGCAGTAGCAGTAGTAGTAGTAGTAGTAGTAATAATAATAGTAGTAGTAGTAGTGGTGGTAGTAGTAGTGGTAGTAGCAGTAGTAATAGTCGTCGTAATACTAATGGAGTCGTAGCCGTAGTAGCATTAGCAGCAGTAGTAGTAGTCGTGGTCGTGGCTGCAGTAGTGGTAATGGTGGTGGTCGTGGTAGTTGTGGCAATTGTAATTGTTGTTGACGCCGTCGTACTAGTACTAGTAAAAGAAGCACAAGTAAGGGTAGCAGAAGCAGTAGTTGTAAACGGACGAGGAGTAGCAGTAATAGCAGCAGCAGCAAGCAGTAGGAGTAGTAGTCGTCGTCGGAGCAATGGAGGTGGAAGCAGAAGTAGAACTACCAGTAGTAGAAATAGCAGAAGCAGAAGCAATGCAGCAGTAGCAGTGGCAGTGGCAGTGGCAGTAGCAATCGCGTTATCATTTGTAATAGTGGCAGTAGTAGCCACACTAATAATCGTCGTCGTAATCGTAATAGTAGTAGTGGTGGTGGCGGTGGTGGTAATAGTTTTTGTTTTCACCCACTTGGCAGGCCGTCGGCAGCACTGTGGGGTGGTAGTAGTAGTAGTAGTGGTGGTGCTGCTGGTGGTGGTGGTGGTGGTGCGAATAATAACAATAGCAGTAGCAATAATAATAGTAATGGTTGTTGTCGAAAGAATTATAATACTAGCCGCACTAGTAATAACAAGAAACCACAAACTGAAATACTAGTCGTCGTAGCAATAGAAATAGAATAGTAGCAGTAGTAGAGTAGTAGTAGCAGTAGTAGTAGTAGTAGTAGCAGCAGTAGCAATAGTAATAATAGAAATAGTAGAAGCAGAAGTAGTAGCAGTAGTAATAGTAGTAGCACTCGTAATAGTAGTAGTAGTCGTCGTCGTCGTAGTAGTCGTCGTCGTAGTAGTAGCAGCGGCAGCAATAGCAATAGCAATAGCATGCAATAGCAGTAGAAGCAGCAGTAGTACGATTACTAGCAATAGCAGCAGTAGTAGTAGTAGTAGTAGTAGTATTAGTAGCAGCAATAGTAGTAGTAGCGGTAGTAGCACTAGTATAATAATAGCAGCGGTCACAGCAGTAACAAAAGCAGTATTAGTAATAACAATAATAGCAATAGCAATAGCAGTAGCAATGGGAGCAGTAGCAATAGCAGTAGTAGCAGCAGCAGTAGCAGTAGCAGTGGCGGCAGCAGCAGCAGCAGCAGTAGCAGTAGCAGTAGCAGTGGCAGTGGCAGTGGCAGTAGCAGTAGCAGTAGTAGTAGCAGTAGTAGTAGTAGTAGTAGTAGAAGCAGTAGTCGTCGTCGTAGTCGTAGTAGTGATAGTAGAAGTATTAGCAGTAGCACTAGCATTACCAAGAGTATTGGTAGTATTGGCAGTGGTAGTTGTAGTGGTAGTCGTAGCAGCAGCAGAAGCAGTAGCGGTGGTGGAAATAGCAGCAGGGTAGTGGTGGTAAGTAGGTAGTAGTTAATAGTTGGCAGGAGTAGCTAGTAGCTGCTGCTGTAGTTGCTACTGTTATACCAGCATGCCTTGCAGACACACGGCGCACCCGCTGCATTCGCCCTTGTCTTCTCTTCGACATCCTGCAGCAATCCTCATTTGCGCAATTGCGGAACGCATCTGGATGTTTGCTCGAAGCTATACACTGCCTCAAGCTCTTGCGTTTTCGGAGTTCGTGGCTGGGATTCCTACAACCTGGCATCGCTACATCTTATAATGAAAACGCTACGAAAGGCTCACCCGTTACAAACTCCAGAACATCAACGGCAAGGTTCGGAGTAGCCGCGGTACAGCCGGGGCTAAGTCGCGGTAGAGAGCATCGGAATGGAAGGCCGAATTGCCTCCATTGCGACGCGTGGGTGGTCTGTAAGTGTCTTTCTGAGGCCAGCTTCTAGCACGGTCGGCTTTACCCGCAACCAAAACCAAATCTCGCGCCTGAGACCTTTCACCTCCGAGTTCGGAGACATGATGCATGCTGCGAAATGTCAACTCCAAGAAGCAAATTTGATCATTTCCAAAGTATCCGGCGCCACCTACGCCCCGTCGGAACCGCCCAATCACGCAGGAGAACATTCCACATATCCCTCCCGCCAATCCCGCCCAAAGCAAAGGAGGCGAACTTGCGGCAAGCGGAATCACTGTCGCCACAAAGCTCGATCAGCCGGCTGAGCACTCCGTCCTGGAAATTGACTTGACAGCAAAAGACGGCTGGAGAATGTTATGAGCATGACTACGCGCATGCTAGCCGTGCGTCAGCCTTTCCAAGCCAGCCCTTGCTAAAGCACCACAGACTGCGGCAAATTAAAGCCACACTTGCCTGAATTCTGAAGCATGCTAGCTTCAGGCAGTCGTGGGCTTCCAGGACCATGCAACAACATAGCACAACCGTTTCGGTTTGCGGCCTGCCTCAAGCATGCTCTCGTAGAATTCATCCGAATGACGAACCATGTTTCCCACAGCCTTGGAAGGGCGGATGTCAAACGGCATCAAAGAGCCTACTCAAGTAGCATTGGTTACAGTACGTGATACAAGGGTGTTTTGGTCGGAATCATGCACGGCCTGAGGACGACCGGGGGTTGGCGCAACTTCTGCAGGCAAAAATTCGAGCTTTCCTGCAATGTATAATGTGACCAACCCTTCTCGCCGAACACCCCGCAAACAAAAACAGACCAACAAAACATAACGCATGAAAAACGCAATGGGACACTTGTGTACAACATCAGAATGGCAAAGCTCGATTCCGGGTGGAGTCGAGGATGGAAAGAGTTTTTTGAATTAACACCCACAAGCTTGTAAGTAGCATCACACGTAACGACTCCCATCGACATGATGATGATTACTGGACCGGCATGAACTTGTGGGCCTGAACATGGCCTAAGGCAGCACACCTATCAGCCCAGTTTGTCACAGCGGCATTCAGGGCTTTCGCCCGGACGCTGGCATTGCCACAAGAAAGCAAATCTCGTAGCGCTATGCACAAATTCATGCTCCGCAACAATGGATAGTATTCCCGAGACCTCAGCTGTGCAACTCAGGTCCACCTCAAAACAATGCTAACTTGTTCCCGCTCGATTCTAACGGCGAACAAGCTTCAACCGAGCCAACTGGGAAATGATCACCAAGACATCGACGATAGCCTGATCTGGAGGAGCGGCTAGACAGCTTACGTGTAAGATGCGACTTCGCACAGTGTTAGGTGAACGCAACATGCAAGTGATAATGCCACCATGCCCCATGGGAACTCAACGCAGCAAAGCCACCATGGCACTGACTGCAGAGCCGGCAGCTAGCCCTGGGGACAGCAATCGTCGGCTGACGACCATCTGCAATCCTGGAAGCGGTTGCCAAGGTAGACTAATGCGAGAAATATGTACGTCGTCTGTCCCCATGCGTTGCCTCCGTGTTGCACGAACTCAAAAGCCAGCAAATGGTGGTGCAAAACCAATGCCTGGTGGCACAGTGCAATAGGCATTTGTTACGCGATGCTATGCTCAAACGACAGCAACGGATAACCTTTCTTATACTGCGGGGTGCGACCAACAGCTGAAGCGCGGCTGAAATGGCAGGTGTCAGCGAATCGTTTCCTTCGCCATGGCAATCATGAAGATTCGAAAGCACATGATGCTGACAAACATCTTCGCAAAAAAATTGTTCCGCTTGTGAACATCCTCCAACATCCTGACCTTCACTGACATCTCCATCAATGTCACCACTTCTCCGCATTCTCCGCTGTGAGCCTAATTTTCGTAACCAAGCGGCCCTGGTCTACCGGAGCGCCAGCAAGGAACTGCCTGAGCAACGCACAAGAGCTATCCCGGACGTTGCCGCGCGCATAGCATGTGCACACAACCACATTGTATAGTTCCACCTTGCAGCTAAAACTTGGGAGACTATTGAGCCGAGCTGCATGATGGTAGCAATGGTTCGGTGTGTCTGGAGCTCTGTATGCAAATCGGTCATGCGCTCGTCTTTGGCCACGGACTCGAACAAACGCAGCAGCAGCTCAAGGGCTGCCTGGTGACGACGTCCCAAGCACTACGAACTCTGACATGAGATGACGGCTGGCAACTCCGAAACTGCAACGCCTGACACGAAGATGGTGGACAAATTTAGGATAAAACACGCACAAGCTGACAAAGCATGGGCCCAAACCCGACGAGACATAACATGATGTGACCTGATATCATGCATGGCAAACGCGAATCTGCTCAAAAGGCGATTTGATCACAAAACAGTAAAACAACTCCTTCGCACGATTCGGTTTATTTGCTGCCGGCTACTCGGTGTTGGGATGTAAGTATCAAATGAAATATTTGTGGAACCCACGCCCCGCCAAAATAAATAAACAAACACATGTTTTACTAGACTCGACAACACGGAACTGCCTCGCTGCAATTGCTGCCACTTCTGATGTTTTTACGACAACTACGCCAACTAGTAGTTGCTGTGCAGCGGCAATCGCGGCTCCTTCGTCTACGATTTCCGAACTCCTGGCGTGGCCTGCTCATGCCTGCTCCCACCCTGCCCGCTCCCCGAGTCGGCAGCAACCCAACCACATCGAACTCAACGCCTCAAGCATTGGCTGGATATGGCGCGGTGAAAGGTTTGGGACCTGCATGCCTCGCCCGCGAGACCTTGCGACCGCTACGATGGTCTTGCTCCGCCGGCACACGGTCCCGGCTAACGGCTGCAAAGGCAAGCCCCTGGGCCCAGCATTGGCGGCGAGGTTGAGCACACGGTCCAGCGCTGAACCGGCCACGGCGAGCTTGACCGCGACAGAAAGCCACAGGATGCTGCGGCGCGGTGGAGAGCGCGGAGGCGGACGAGGTCGCGAACAATTTAAAACAGTACGCTGCAGCGGCGGCCCCGTGCCCCCCACGGCGCATGGATGCGGATTTTTTGCAAGGCAGGGGGGACACCGTTGCATCGCCGCACAGCGCTCCTCCGTTGGCGGCGGCGCCATAAACGACGAGGCCGAAGGGCCGGCGGCCGTCCGCTGGGACGCCTGCAGCGGTCATGTGGGCGAGCCATTGCTGTGGCACGACAGGGCCTTCGGCTCCGACGTTTCTCGCGACACGCGGGCCCACTCGCGTTCGACGGTTTTGGCGCGTCTGGCCAACAAGTCTGTCTTCGGGCAAGCGAATGCATTGTCACCGAAAGGGTGCATGGCTCTACCGCATCCTTGGTTGCATTGGGCTGCAGCGGCTGGAGGAAAGGCAGGCGCAAGCGAGGCCTCGAGGCAATTTGCATCGCCTGTGGCGGGATTACTTGGCCCAAGATTGCCACACAACACATGTTTTTTGAAGTTTCGCATTTTCGTGAAATTAGTGTCCCAAATCTTTATCACATGGCGATAAAAGCAGGAATGTGTTCATGTATGCACGGACGTGCATGTGTGTAGGCATGTAGGTATGTATGTATGTATGTATGTATGTATGTATGTATGTGTGTGTGTGTGTTTATGCATGCACGCATGTATATGATGCATGTACGTGTAAGAGTTTCTGGGTTGCATGTACTCCGTCATTGCATGCAT